CCTGCATCTGTGCACATGCAGGGACGAGAAGAAGAAGAAGCTGCCGTGGCTGCGGAGGGGAGAGGGAGGCCTTGTTAGCGGCCTGCCAATATAGGGGCCACGATCGCGTCGGGTCGTGCGAACGGTATTTGCATGTGTGCCCGGGGACTCTTTTTCTTCTCCCGGGGTCCCGGGACCTAAGAGCTCGCACGAGAGGAGATCCCTGCCTTCCCCTCCCCCTCCCCCGTTTTTTTGCTGTTTCTTCGGGTCTCTCTACGCGCGTTCGAGCGGTGGGGGGTTCTTTTTTTTCTCGTTTCCGAGAAAGTACTCGTGTTGCTCGCACGAAGGAGGATCGGATTGGGGGTGTCTTTTTGCTCATACGCGGCTCAGGTGGAATCGGCTACTGCGTGTTGCTCGCTCGCGAGATGCCGATTGCCGATGCCTCTTCTTCTTCTTCTTCTTCTTTTCTGGCTACCGAGAACTTCTCCGCAGTTTCGTTGCATTGGGAGACATCGAGTGTGTCTCGCTGCGTCTCCGTCGTTTGTCTCGCGAGGAAAGGGCAATCCCGTATGAAATGTTTCCTCTCTCACAACTCCGGAGTCGTCCGATACTTTCAGGCTCTCAGTCGCAAGTATTTTTTTTAAAACAAATTTCCATTCTGCTGGTGTGTATCTTTGAACGATGCTGATAGCTATTTACCAATAGTTGCGTCAACCTTGTGGCTAATGAGACCGAGCCGTTTCCACAGGATCGCAAACAAAACATGGGTCACCCTTTCCCATTAAAATACCCAAAGAGCGAAAATTCAGGCTCAGTATGGAATTTCAACGCCACTTAATCGAAACATTCACTTTGCGAGCAGTGTACAAAACCAACGTCGTTCAGTCTAATGATATGCCGGCGCAGCAGTACAAAACAGAGTGAAAAAAAAAAAAAAAAAAAAAGAGAACGCGAGTAAAGGAGAAAAGCACGCAGCGCGCGAGCAGGCGGGGCTATCCGCGTATCGGTGGTCCGCCCTCTTTTCCGTGTCCTTGCACGAGAAGGCGCATACACACGTGCGTTAATACGACGCTCTCGATCCCACTTTGGTCGTCTTACTTACGAATTCCGCGTTCTTTATGTAAAAACAAAAACGAAGGTGGGAGGGAGGGTGAACAAAAAGACGAGGGAGAATCGAAACAAGTAGGCTGCTACCCGTCGAGCAGCACACATCGGCCGTCTTCTTCCCTCGTAAGCTGCGTGAGGAGAGAGAAAGAGAGTTCCTGCTATCCACCTCCTCCTCGTCGTCGTCGTTGTCCTCGTCGCCGCAGCTCTCCGCTCTTCTCCTCCCCATCTCTTTGGCTATGGGTTCTGCCTCCCTTTCTCTCTCTCTCTCTCTCTCTCTCTTTGCTACCCGTGGCTCGAACTCTCCGTGCAGGGGCTCTCCAGAGACAATGGACAATGGGGACATAAATCTGCGTAATTAGTTGCCGATGCTCCCGCGGATCAATGTGCGATCTCTTTTCTCTCCCCCTCTTTGAGGCCCGAGGGAGAGGAGGGCAGAGAAGGATAGGTCTCTCGCGAGCGAGCGAGAGCTTTAAAAGCCCGAGGAGAACAAACGATCGTTTGGTTGGTCAGTCGGTAAAGGTAGGACGACGCCGGGCAACTCTTCTCCACCCAGTCTCTCTCGTCCTTTCCTAGTCCTCTCGTCGTCATCGCGTTGCGGCTCTCCCCCTTCGGCCCCACGATCCGCGCGTGCATGCATTTGAAACAACGACACTCCCTTGGCCGTTCCTCGGATGAGAGAGAGAGAGAGAGAGGCCAAGGAAGGGTGGACGCACCCGCGCACCTTTGATGCAAGATGGCGGCACGTGTCCGGGATCCGAGGATCTTCTTCACCTTGCTTCTTCCACGTTATCTCCTCCCCCTCCCAGCTGCATGGACTATTCTCCTCCTCCTCCAGTTTCTCTCGTTTTATCTTCTCCTCACCTACGTTTGCTCTACTCGCTTATTTGCATCGAGCACCTGTCTCTCTGCTTATATATCCCCTTTCCTTCCTCCTCTACTCCCTGCTTCTTGTACTTTCCTTTCCTTTCTTTTTTTTTTTTTTTTTTTTTTTCTTCTTCTTCTTCTGCTGGTACTCTACTGCTGGTGTGCGGAGTAAATCACCGGGAGTAAAAAGATTTAGGGATCGCGGGGAGGATCGAGGGGAAGGAGAGAAGAGAGATCACGATGACGCGAGCGCGAGAAAGAAGAAGGGACGTGTAACGCGCGAGTCCAAGCGCGAACTCGACTCCATAAATCTGGTGAGGGTCGCTGACCAAGCTCTCCTTCTTTCTCTTGCTCTGCTCTCTTTCCTTCCTTCTCGTGTAAGCTGCTGTTGCACCCCGAGAGCATCTTTGCTTCTCCCCCCCCCTCTCTTTCTCTTTCATTCGTCCTCTGGCGTGGGAGGATTCGCTCGAGAGGTGGTGTATCGGCGTTTTAGGAAGTGGGACCTCGATATCACACGTAGCTGGCCATCCATCGGACCGTTTTCTGGAATAATGAATACAGTGTCCCTGTTGTATTGAGTCGTTACAAGTAACGAGTTCTCTCGGATATTCTTCTTCCATGCCGTTGTAGAATAGGCCCTCAATGAAAAGATTTTCAAGACAGGTTGGTCAGTTTGACATAATGACCCACGATGGCCACAAATTACAGTTTAATTCATAAGTATACCATCTGTCCTTTTGCCTGACCTTGTTAGACCAAAAAATTCAGAACAAAATATTGAAGAAATCATTGACAAACACTAGTTTTTAACGCCTCAATGACTTGGAAGAATACACTTAACACTTAACATTGAGACTTGTACAAGAAGGTTTATTTGTAGTCAGAAATCCTGCAGTAGATATGACATAACAAAAAATGAAATCAATAGGAAGAAAATTTTCGACTGTCAATGCTATTTTTGTAATAAAAATTACTCACCATTATGTTTATGGGTTACGTTAAATTTAACTTTCTTTTTATTCATTATGTTTATATTGTTCCGTTCTACATATAACATCGTCAATCACATTAGAGTAAAATGATCAAAACGAGCTTTCTTCCGAATGATCCTGTATGCGAATCCCATACCGTCCCATACTGTATACAAGACCTACATATTTTTAAGAATTAGTTTTTCGGTAAAAGATCTAAAGCTTTGAGTTGCTGAGTGACTAAGCTTTGTAGAATTTATACCATAGTGTCATGACCATGTAAATTACAGACCTGACCATTACCTTATCGACGACCCTACGAAACATACGACGCTTTGAATTTGTTATACATGTATTCACAAAGTTGGCAAATAAAACGGAAATCTAAAAAAAAAAAAAAAATGTATTGTAGCCCAGTAGAATGCAGTACCAACGCACACATTTTTCAAGATAAAATGTACATTGTTATACTTTGCTGTATCTACTTAGAGAAAACACTCGTGTTTTAGCAAGTAGAAAACCCCCGATAAGTTCCTTTTCAAAGTCTTTTGTTTTCCAACGCTCGTGCAATGCGTTCACCCGATTTCACCCACCAGCAATAATCCATACAAGTCGTACACGAATCTCAAAAAGTAGTAGCCCTGACAATGTCCTATGGAATTACTCCACGTGCCGCAAAACACGGAGAAACGAAACGAAAGCAAGGAAATCCGGACCGTTTAAAATGATAAAAAAGACACGCTTTCCGTTCTCTGGGGGTATTCAAATTAATTCCCTGCGAACAGATAAAATTGTAAAACAATCGTTGGCCAACCCCCCCTCCCCATCTCTACCTGGAAAATCACTCGTTGCGACACAAAAGGATGCGGAACTCTCCCGTGGCAGGAGACTCCCTGTAGCTGGCTATCGCTCCGTAAATGATAAACAGGCCCCCCTTCCCCTCGGGCATCACATCTGAAAGCAGCCCACCACCGCATACATTATTTCGGATCGGAAAAAGTCGGGAGCGAAGAAGAAACGCGAGGCAAACGAAAAAAATCCCGGGAACAGAGCACAGACGGTCCGGCTTGCATTTCCCGTCGTCGCGGTCCCGAATGGAGAGTATATAGCAGCAGCACCGGCAGCACTAGTAGCTGCAGCTTGGGCGATAAGCCATCGTAGCTAGTGTAAGACAACCATAAAACACTTATGTTAACGAGCCTCTCCTCGAGCATAACGCTCGCTCTTTCATTCCTCCTCTCTTCCCTCCGTTCCTCCATCGCTACTCGCAGTACAAAACAAACACTTAGCAGCCTGCATACATACATACTTACACGGCCAAGCCAAGACCGATCTACGATCTCTAAGTCTCTTTGCCTGCATCTCTTGTTGTTTCTCTATGTGTCGGGAGGAGGGGGGGATAGAAGAAGAGCGAGAGAGGAGGAAAAGGCGATAGGATCGAGAGCGGACACGAAAGTCCGAATCTCACAGATGGAATCGCGCGAGAAAGAAGCGTGACAAAACGCGGGAACGTTTCTCCAAACCGCGTTACAACGAGAATGGGTATTCTCTCTGTCAATCGAGCCCAGGGAATGAAGAAACGAGTGTCTATCGATGCGCGAGCGGTAAATGACTTTGATTAAAAGTGGTCCGGGCACACGGACTCCCGACAATGGTGGCGCATGCCCAACAATGAGACTCGAATCTTCGCGAAGCGTTGACGGGAATCGTCAGGAGAAGGCTTGATTAATGAAGCGATAGTCGAGCATTGTTTCGTTACCCACCTGCTGCACTTTTACGCAGCTCTCGGAAAATGGTCTATGAATGCTCTTCATCGTGTACATTTGGTTGACGTGTCTTCTTCGCGTCGATTGATTAGCGTGATTTTCAATACTCCTGAATATAGCCAAACGATCATTGTGAGAATTTTATGTGATAATTAACTGTTTTGACCATTAAAAATGTTTTATATACACGAAATGCATAGACAATGTAGCATAATTGTATTTTCGACAATGTTTTAACTTGATAAAAAAAAATTCATTAACTGCATTTTAAATGTATGGATTAACATGTATCCTGTATATTGCATTGTTTCAGGGGAGGGCGGCGCAGAAAGTACAGGACCCGGCACAGACCTCCAGGGTGAGGAAGGTGATTGCGTGGATGAGGATGGTCCAGTCAGCCCGAGCGAGAGGGCTTGCAGCGGTGGTGGCCCAGCGGTTAAAGAGGACGAGGATTGCGAGGCGAGTGACGAAGACGACGAGGAAGACGCCAATCCACCAAATTCGACGCCACCGGCAGTAAACGCGAGACTAAACCCCGTTGTTCTCAGAGATTCCGGACCTCCTGACAGGTGAGTCCCTTCTTCGACCAACAGAATTTTAGGTACAATTATTTGCAACAAAATATCGCATTGATATTTAGGGCTCCTTTTTTTTGTAAATTGCCAATTCTTCTTTTTGCTCTATCCGTGCTTATCAAAATTTACCATAAGCAATCGTTCTCATTTACTTTATTAGGGTCAAAAACTATTCTCATGTAATTGCCGCTCAATATGCCCAATAAAGCTACAATAGAAACTCGTATTCCGAGAAGATGAAAAAACATACCAATTTCTGTCAAGTTGTTATGCTGTCATAACTCAAAAATTAAAGGACCAACAATTCAATGGATCAACATTCAGAGCAGAGCCCATAAAAACTAAAAACCCACTTCCTGCTCTCGTCACACCTGCCTCTTTCCATCTGCACACCCATTGACTCATCAAACGCACACCCTTGCCAATTGCAAGAGTGCCCGTGTGTGGAGTCGGCCCACCATAAAAAAAGCGCGGTCGCAAATAAGAGCGATCGAGGGGACCCGAGTGTCTTTGAAGTCGCCGCAGCGCAAAGAGGCTCGCGCGTTGTTCGAAGCTGTTGCGAAACAAACACAACAAATCTTTGGCCATTCTCTCATTTGTCAACCGATTCACGCCCACTCGCGTGAAAGGCAAACAAACCGCGAAGCTGGAAGCCAATCGCTGTTTGTACTGATACCACAGCTGGATGTGCGTGTGTATTCTCGATGTCTCTTTCAGCTGATGCAGAGATACACGAACGGCCTCTGTAGACATTGTGATATCACTTGCATAATTCATTTCTAGAAAGACTTTATCTTACGTTTACATAAAGGTAATAGCAACGATAGCAAAAAATAATTATATACTTAGATTAGTTGGGATCAAACGCAAGGGCATCGAGTTTTGCGATCACAAAAAAAAAAAAAATGTTAAACATCAATGCAAGCTGTATCAAAAATATAAATGCAGCACCAAAAATTTTCTCCTTATACAACTGCAGCGTTTTAAATTGGTCAATAAAATCCAGCACCGGATCACCCCTGCAAGTGCTCTCCTCTTAAACTTGGCTCTCGTTTCATCCCCTAGCCTCCTATGCGCACCTATATCATAATTTGCTTTGCACATGCAAACATCTGCATCCCCTCCGTTGTCCACTTTACGCTGCATACAGACACGTATGACGATGCAGCGTGCGCGTGCTAACATTACCCTTGGCCATCCTCCCTGCCTCTCTTTAGTTACCCAAAAACTTCCCTCGTGCACACGCACGCGTACGCGTTAGATGTTCGGAGAGAGTAGGTGGTTGTTCCCCCCTTTCATCTCTCGGCGCACGCATTCGCCTATATATGTGCTGCTCCGCTGTTGCTACTGCCACTTGGCTCATTCAGTCACGGACGCAGTCAGTTACGAACGAGCAGTCGACAGGCCCGGCAGCAACGAACTCGGGTGAAACGACAACCACGACGAGAGAGCGCTCCACGCGCCCTTTAACAGTTGCACCTTCGAGGATAGGGAGGGATGGCAAGCTCTGTTGTCTAACTCTATCTCTCTTGTTTGCATTGCCGATCTTCGTCTGTATAAGCTTTTAGGACCATGAGCACCTACCACGTGGTCTCTCCTTTTCGCTGACGTCGTGCGTTGCCTCATAGGTATACCTTGTTTTTTCTTACCAGCACAATGTGCTGTGGTAATTTTTTTTTATTTCTTTGTTTTTTGTTGCATTTATAACTTGTATTAAATTAAATTAATGTAGAAGGACTTTTTATTTAATTTCATTGAGAGTCAATTACATTGAAACAGGTTGCCTTCATCTACTTTTACTTTGTGAAACGGTTTATTATAGTTTATTAGTTAAATATTTTTTGTAAAGTCTTGTTTTATCGCCAAAACTCCATTGATTTAGTCATTAATATTCTATTATTAATTTTTTTTTTAGATTTTCAAGATAACACACTAGATCTTAACAATCGTACTATAAATGTGCCAAAAAGACTGTTTTCATATAGATTTCCATTTCACTTCATAGTCATTTTATATTGTTTCTGATTTAAGGTTCTAATTAATTTATTTAGAAAGTAACAACACTCTTGGGAAACTTAGAAATTATGTTTGCATCACAGATGTAACTTAATAATACGATTTATGAATGGTGATCAATCGCAAGACTTGACAGAGATAACTCATCACGATATATGTATATAGAAAATAACTGATTGTATACATTTTTTTTATTTGGTTATTCATTCAATTAGGTCATTACGTTGTACAATGTTGTTTACTATTATATCTAACTGATGCGTTTTAGAAATAATTTTTTACAGTATTCTGACACTTGCGATTTTACATTTTATCTTTAATACAAATCACTTAAGCTTCTTTGACTAAAATGATATAAGTGGTTTCTTAAAAAAGAAAATAATAACACTTAAAAATTTTCCATCTGTTTTAGGGAGCCAATGAGCCCACGGTGTCCATCAAGAGACTCGCGGGAATCATCCGGCCCAGCGACTGGGAGCCCTCCACCGGCAGCGACTCGAAATAGCTCGAGTCCAGTTAGCCCACCTGGCAATATCGTACCTTTGCCATTGGGTGTTCACCCCCTTTTACCTCCACAGTCAGCAGCCATGATGGCAGCCTACCTTCAGCAGACGCATCAGCGTCTCTTACTTGGACATTCACCCCTGTCGCGAAGTTCGGTCTCTCCACTAGTGTCATCCTCGTGTTCACCTCCCGCTGCGACTCCAGGGCTCCACGTATCCCCAACGAGTGGTGATACATCTCCCAGTGCAACTCCCCTACCCGCTGTGCTTGACTTTAGCACACGTAAGGCCTCATCGACGGAGGAGGAGGAAGAGGAACAGATTTTAAATTTGAGTAAGCCCCCTACGCCATCTTCGTCGACGGAAACTAACAATGGACCCTTGGATCTCTCCGTGCCAAGCCGGAAGCGACCCGTCCCTGAGGACTCGCCCCCACCCCCGCGAAAGTCATCGAGACTATCCACGAGCACGCCCGTGCCAGCGCACCAAGATGCACCTTCGAGTGCCTCGCCCTACTCACGTCAGGTTCTCTCACCATGGACGTCACCCGTCACTTCGCACTTCCCTTACTTTGCCGCAGCAGTCGCGGCGGCTGCAACTAGTCAACAGCAATTATCGCCAAAGGGCGGTGTCGGTGTGGTCGATCATCAACTTTGGAATGGTAAAATGAAGCCACCAGCCCTTGATAAGTCTTATCAGCCAAGTGAAGCCACTAAGGCCTTGGAAAAGATGAGCGAGTTAAGTAAGTTGAGTGGCGAAGACCTATTTAGATCTTCCTCAGCATCGAGCGGAAACACGTCAGGTGGGCCATCAGGCACTTCCGGTAGCAGACAGAGTGCTTGGCAGTCACATTGGCTGAATAAAGGAGCCGATCAAGCAAAAGATGTGCTTAAATGCGTTTGGTGTAAGACGAGTTTCCCAACCTTGGCAGCAATGACGACGCACATGAAGGAAGCGAAGCATTGTGGTGTAAATATGCCAGTTCCACCCCCTACTACTGGAATGCATTCTCAACCACCTCATCAACCCTCGATACCTCCAACGCCCCCTCAACCCCATCCAACACAAACATCTTCGAGTGCAAGTGGGAATAATAATGCCACATCAAACAGTAAGCAAAGTCCTTCGGAACTTAATCTTCTGATAAAAGAAACAATGCCTCTACCAAGAAAGTTAGTGCGTGGTCAGGATGTTTGGTTGGGTAAAGGTGCGGAACAGACGCGACAGATTCTGAAATGCATGTGGTGTGGACAGAGCTTCCGATCGTTGGCTGAAATGACATCGCATATGCAACAGACTCAGCACTACACGAACATTATCTCGCAAGAACAAATTATATCTTGGAAGTCTTCAGATGATAACAAAGGCAGTAGTGGTGGCGCTGGAGGAGGATCGAGTGGCAACAGTGGAAGTGGTGGTGGAAGTGGAAGTGGTAGCGGTAGTGGTGCTCCACCTAGTGTTGGTGGTTCCGGTCCTCATGGTACGAGTGGAGGTCCTGGCGCTGGTGCAACTAGCAGTCATGTAAGTGCTGTACTTACATGTAAAGTCTGTGATCAGGCCTTTAGTTCTTTGAAGGAGCTAAGTAATCATATGGTTAAGAACAGTCATTATAAAGAACACATTATGCGCTCTATAACTGAAAGTGGTGGACGAAGGCGACAAACACGTGAAAAGCGAAAAAAGTCACTACCAGTTAGAAAGCTCCTGGAACTTGAACGTGCGCAAAATGAATTCAAAAATGGTGACACTGGGATTGCTGCTCTCGCGCATGGTCTCGGTAAACATGCTGGTAGAATTACTTGTGAAAAGTGTGGTGAAAAAATTGAGACAAATATATTCGTAGAGCACATACGACAGTGCATCGGTGCTGGTGCTCTGGGTATCAATCAACGGAACTTCTTGAAAAACGCCTTAATGTCGAATCATTTAACTGGTACCTTACCCCCAACGGAATCAGGACGGAAAAGCGTAAGCGAGGAGATCTCGTCTCTTTCTTCCCGACACCACAGGTCACCATCTTCAGCAAGTGATGCAACAACACCTGGTAAAGAAACTCCCACATTAACGCCAAATGAATCCAGTGGTGGAACTTCTTCTCCTTCCGTTCTTAATGCTATTGAAAAGTTGATAGAGAAAAGCTTTGACTCACGTGTACGTCATGGTGCTTCAGGCATGCATCATGCACAGGCTGGTGCGCCTATTGGTTCGAGTATTCTTAAGCGACTGGGAATCGATGAAAGCGTTGACTACACAAAACCACTGGTAGATCCTCAAACTATGAATCTCCTACGATCATATCAACAGCAGCATTTCAATGCAGCGGCAGCGAGACGAGAACGAAGTGGGAGTGAATCAAGTTCTATATCGGAAAGAGGAAGTGGACGAACGGACACAATGACTCCAGAAAGAAGGATAGATCTTTCCATTTCGGCGCATGACAGACTTTCTGCCGCTTCTACGCACTCACATCATCAACGTTCAACTCCAGACAAACAGATGACAACGTTGCCTACTCGCCTTCCTCCAACACATGATGAGTCCGAGGAAGATGAATCTGTGGTAGTTAAGAAAGAACCAAAAGACGATGAGCCAGAAAATCTAACATCGAATAACGATAACGAACGACAATCCGAAAGTCCGCGAGAAGTCATGGTAAAAAAGGAGATGGTTGATGACGGACGTGAAGAAGAAGAGCCTGAATCCTTCAACAATCATAGACGAAGTAGTAGCAGTATAAGAGAACCGTCAGAGGAAAGAAAGGATGTATTATCTCCACCAATGAACCCTCCAACACCAAGAACTTTGAGTCAAGTTGAACAATTAGGTCGCAGTCCTTGTAGGAACAGTACGAGCAGTCCAACGAGTAGTGACAGATCGGTAACACCCCGAGGAACCCCGGATACTAAAACGTCTAGCAGTCTAGGTGCGTTGTCTTCGATGTTCGATAGTCTATCAGGTGGTGGTGGTACATCAAACGCTAACGTAACGGATGGACAAGGTCGAAAAACCAGCAGCCATCCGCTGGCTGCTTTGCAAAAACTGTGTGATAAAACCGAGACTCGGGGATCGGGTGGAAGTGGTAGTAACAGATCGGGGTCTAGTTCCACCACTACGCTTGGACCAAGCAGTGGTTCTGGCCCAGGAGCCTCAAGCAGTGGCTCAGGTCCTACACCTGGTGCAATTCTCGCCTTTAGCTGGGCTTGCAGTGATGCAGTTGTGACGTCTGACTCCCTCATGAAGTGCGCATTCTGTGATACTCCGTTTATCTCGAAAGGCGCATATAGGCATCATTTGTCCAAAATGCATTTCGTCAAAGATGGCGTGATCCCCGATCCCGTGACTATCGGTCGGTCAGCCACAGCAGCGGCATCGGTCGGTTCGCAGCCAGCTTCTGGTGGGCCAAGCGCTCACAGCTCTTCATCGCCACCCTCGTCCCAGAGAAACAAATCACCACCTATCCTTCAGGCAAACGGAAGCCCTTCTCAGCCAACGAGCTCACCGCTCGAGGAGAGTCCTCACTCAAAGTTTCTCAAGTATACGGAGTTGGCCAAGCAACTGTCCAGCAAATACGTATAGTCCGAGCCCCGTAAGTAGCGGTGCCACTTGTACATAAGTGTATCTATATTGTAACGAAATCTCTCGAGAAGTGTGGTTCAGATTTTTTGGGGTGTAGTCCGCGTATCATTGAGCCAATTGTTAACAATGGACTTGTTTAGTTATTTGATTGGAAGAGAAATTATCTAATGGTTCTGTAAATTTAAACTGGTTAAAGTTTTGTGAGGTTTTTTTATTATTCAAAATTTGATATTTTAACGTAACGTCAACAAATCATGTATTCTACTGTAATTCAATAGATAAAAATGTTTATGTGAACTCATCCAATCATAGACCATCATTACCAGCCAATAACCTTGACTCACATGGTCAAACTATCAGAAATGTCTTTTGCTAAAGTTTTTTTGAAAAATTATGGCTGATTTTTTTTTATTCTTAAGCAATATGTTGCATCTTAACGTCAATACATTTATTTTTAAAAAACGCTCTATACAATGAAAAATATAAGTTGCAAAGCGAAACTTGATGATTGAAATAAAAATAAGAAGAAAAAAGCGTAAGCGTGATACATTGGTTCAATGATGCCGTGGCAGCACTAACGAACAAAACGAACAAATAGCGAGCACATGCAGGTGCACGCGCACGTTTCTTATGGAGCGTGAATTTTAACAAATAGTTAGGAGAGATGAGATTGAATTTCATTGTGATGCCACCATATCTCGCAGCACCGCTGAGTCACGGGGGCTCGGCGCGCGGCCAAGTATGTGATTTTATAATTAATATAAAAACAAATACTTAAGAATTATTAATTTCGCGTTGAAAGCGTTGATGCTGCAAAATGCGAGAGACTGCTGCAGGTGATTTTTAGGATTAACACGTTTTAAGAACTAAACTTTAATCGAAACGTCGTCGTTGTCATTGTGATCGTTGTTCTCCGGATCTTATAAAACTGACTCGAGATCGCCTTTTTGTACTTTAGAATAGTTGAAAATAATAAATCTTTCTGTGACGTTGGTCTGTCCGAACATTTATTTTCTCGAATGACACTAAAAATCTACAGTCACGCCAAAACTACGCGCAATTAAAACCACCTTTAACTCATGTAACGTAGTGGAATTTAAATTTCGCGTTTTCTGTATCTCTTCAGTTTTACAAGACTCGCAGGCTTAACACACGCACACGAATGCATACGACCGTGAGCATGTATACCTTTAGACACTTAAGGCTGTAGCTGATTAGGTAAGAATCTAGCGTAGGAATCGCCATTGTATAGGAATCTCTTTGTTGATAATTAAAAGAAAGACGTAAAGACCAACGTGGTACTGGTCACCCACGCTGGTCTGCCCACGTTATTTTTTTTTCTCCTTAACGCGGCCGACACATTATTATAGTTTAAACAGAAAATAACAAACAAATAAACAAACAAAATTAACGAGAGCGAGACTGCGCGGCAAGGAGAAAAAGCGAGCGTGAAAAGTGCGCGCACGACATATAGTGCAATATCGGATTTCCTTACTATCGTAATTGTAACTGATGAATTCGTAACTCGCACTTGTGTAATGCGTGTCTGATGCAATTTGGACGCGAACCTTGCGTTCTTAAAGACATGACCGAGAAAAATGAGCGCGAATGCGTGCGAGTCAGTATTAAAAAGGCAGCTCAAATAGGAAAAAAAAAAAAAAAAAAAAAAAAAAAAAAAAAAAAAAAAAAA